TACTAGATTTCCAAATATATTTATATCTCTTTCTGACTCCTTTTTTCCCCCCATCAAGCTATTTGTCTATTCCTGGGCCAATACCAGATGATTTATTTAATATAACTTCCTGGTATATTTTGATAGCTGGTAGGAAAGTTCCCTCTTATTGTTCTTTTTCAAAAATGCCTTGAACTTTCCTTTTTAGGAATGAATTTTAGAATCAGCAGGATACTTAATGTCCCCGTCTCCCTTAAACCTTAGTTTCCTCATCTTCAAAAAAGGCATTTATTTTAGTATGTACATTATAGTGCCTAGTATGTAGTTTTAAATAGTTACAAAAATTTTTTTTAGAGTTCTACAGGCTGTATAAGAAAAACTAAATTTCCTTTGTGTTGCTGTTTGACTTAGGCAAGTGATTTACTTAAACTTTTCTCTTTAGTTAAACTGTGTTTAGTCTACCTTAAAATTTTTTATTATTGTTGAATAGAGGATCTCTTCTTCCTAGCTTCTTGTTAAAGTACAGTCTCCATAATCTTGTCTGTCATCTTTTCAAGTTCTTGTGGTTTTACCAATAAACCTGTTGTGACACAGCACAGCTCATTTTATAGTCCTAGGGAAATGTGCGTGTGATGGACAATGGTGGGCGCTTCGCATCAGAAGAGGATAAGAATGTGTCTAGTGGTGACGTGTTTGTTATGTTGTAGTATTCCGATTTACGGGATTACGTCACGTCTTCTCCTCTCCTTACAAGCTTTTGGAAATTCTGCTCTTTGCTGAGGCCTCTGCTTGCCAAGGAGAATAGAGGCCAACTTCAGTGATGTGACGTGGAAGACCTCTTGTTAATCTCTGTTCAAAGGAGACTGTCCTTAAGCCGTCTCACACTAAATTATGTTTAGTCATTAAAGTAAGCGAGCTTGCTTTCATTGCTATTGCTACATTTTTTAAAAACTATGCTAAACAGAAGGTTTTTGATTTTTTGTTTTTATTTTTAATAAACGCTATTATCAGCCTCTTCCTAAGTTTAATAAAAATTCCTCTCAGGATAGTTAAGTCTCTTTTTTGAGGTTTTACCTTCTGTTGATGAAGTATGCTTTATTTTCTTCATCAAGTAACCATTTAGGGTCATGGAAATATTGGAAATAACCTAAATGTTTAGTAATAAAATATAATTATAATAATCACATCTACCATTTGCTGAGTACTAAAAATTTCAGGTTATATGAATGTTATCTCCTTCCACTATAAAAAAAAAAAAGCATATATATATGCTTTATGTTACAGATAATAGCTTTGTGCATACATCTATTCATATATTTGCCAGTATATTTTTAGGGTAGATTCCCTAGAAATAGATTGGCTGGATCAAAGGGTAAATGCATATGTTACTTTGCTAGATATTTCCATCTTCCCCTTCACAGAGGTCATGCTCTCTTGCATCCTCATGTCCAATATATGAGAGCGCCTGTTTCTCTACAGCCTTGCCAACGTGCTACGTCCTTTTTGCCAGTCTGACAGGTGAGAAGTGATGCCTCAGTGTAGTTTTAGGTTGCATTTCTTTTATTATAGCAAGATTGAGCATCTTTTCATATGGTTGAAAGCCATTTGCATTTTTTTCCTTTGGCGTTTTTAGCTTTTTTCTTCTGTATTTTTAGAGGCTCTCTTTATTTAGGGATAGTCACTCTTTAAGGTTGTTTTTTAGCCTGGGGAAATGCCAGGCTAATATGTTGAGTGCAAAGAGCAAAATACTATGTTGTGTATTCAGTATGAGTCCACTAATAAAAGTGTGTATGTCATGTTACGGGAAAACAAATGAATGCCATACAACCTAAATGTTATCACTAGTTCTCTTTGGGTAGTGTGAGTATACGTCATCTCGATATCCTTCTTTATTCTTTTCTATATTTTCAAGATTTCTTATAATGAGCATATTATAAATCAGGAAAAAATATTTAGAAAAATTTAATAAGAATGACAAAAAGTTGTACATTGAGTGGTTATCAAAATGTTGATTAATATATTTCAAAATTTCATTTAATTTGCAGTATTCTGTTTACTCATTCAACAGTTATGTATTGAGTGCTTACTATGCCGAGTAAAGTTCTGGTGCTGGAGAACTAGCAGTGAACAAAACAGAGACAGTCCCTGCCCTCACTGAGCTTACAGTCCGATAAAGGAAAAAGACAACACAGTTTAAAATTTTCACTTATCTGTATCTTGTTTGTTATTTGTACTGACTTCTAGATGAAATCTTCTTTGCTGTGAGACATAATATATAAATGTGAGTGTGTGTGTGTTTTCATCCATGTCACTGTGAGAAAAGTACATGTATGCCATTGGCAGAACCAACCAGAATTCTAGAATAGGGTTTCAGAGGTGAAAGGCCAGAGCAGGAGCCCTTTGGCAACTTGTGCTTTGGAAAAAAGCTCCTGGTTTGAGGAGTTGTCTGTAGTGTTCTTGAGGAGCTCTAGGAACTGTTAAGGAGTGGAGGAAAGTTAGAGAAACAGGAGAGAGTTAGAGACCCCCTGAAATAGGGGAAAACTGGACCAGATATTAATATGTGGGCCCACTTTGTCTGCTAACTCCTGTCCATTCTTCATGGGCCAGCTCACATGTCGCCTCCCCGGGAAATTGTTCCTGGCTGCTAAAGCCTGGGTGAGGATTCCCACCTGGACGTACCCCACACCCTGTGCTTGTCCCCATCGTTGCTGTGTTACAGTGTGTTATAGTTAGTTCTTTACTGGTCTGTCTCAGCCAGGCTGTACGCTGCTTGAAGGCAGGGACTTTATCTTTTACTCTAGTTCCTGTATGTAGCATGGTGTCTTGCTGTCATGGATTAAGCACTGTAACGGTTATGAATTGCCTTGTTGGCAGAAGCACAAAGATGCAGATACCTAGTAAAATAAACATTTGCATTTGCTTAGGCGATAAGGGATCTGGTTGTGCTCTTCTAGATAGGGAGTACAGACGTTAGGTTTGACCCTTAGGGTCCATTCTTAGGCATTGGATCCTAGATACAGCAGCCAGCGCAAGGTGGATTTGGCCTGGTCTGGGGAGCTGGATTTTAGCTCTCCCAGTCTTCTAGAGTTGGCTGCTGCATAACCATATGTGAGAGAGGCCACCAAACGGAATCCGGGTACTTTGTTCCCGCTGCGTTATTCCTCTGCCTCCCAGGAATTCTCATGCACTCTTTGTTGGGTACAGAGCTCCTCCTCTGGACACCACTGTTGTGTGAACCCCCTTGGTGTGGTGCACGGCAGTGCTCAGTGTGGGTCAGCATGTGTGTGGTCGGTGAGTGGTGGGCCCTTCTCATCTCCAGCTCTTTGTCTCATTTCTCCCGGCTCCCTTTCCCCACTTTGGCCCCACTCTAGTTCTTTGGTCTTAGTCTTCCCCTTTCTCCTTTATCCTGTATATGTAATCTGCTGCCCTAGAGCAGCCAGGAACATCATGGGCCTTTCTGAGCTCCCCAGAACAATTGAATTTTGCTTTGGCCTCTTGCCTTAGGCTGTTGAATCTGGTAGTGCCTTTAACATTAGGTTGAGCAGCTGTTCCGTTTTGCCTGGGACTGTCCTGGGAAACCCCTTAGTCAGAGACGCTTGGTTGCTCTGGTTAGTGCTGACCTGGGAAACTGCTGCGTCCCCAGTGACTTGGGTGACTCTGATGCTTTGTTTTCCAGCACTTTCTTGCATTCAGGACATACCTTTTTTCATCACAGACTGTAAAATGGGGTAATGTTATGTCACAGCGAACGAGTAATTTCTTCCTGTTTGATCCTTAGCCAAAGGCTTTTGAACAATACTTGAATCTGGAAGATAGCAGACTGCTGAGTCATCTGAAGACCTGTTCTGCAGTGTCCAAACTTCCTTATGATCTCTGGTTCAAGAGGTGCTTCGCAGGGTGCTTGCCTGAGTCCAGTTTACAGAGGCAAGTGTTTCTTTCAAAGACATACTGAAGGCTTGGAGTCGGAGAAGAATCTTGGTTTTTCCTGTGCTCATCCCTCAGAATGTAAATTTGCTTTAGAACAATAATGTGAAACTGACTTCTCCAGCAGCTGACATAGCAACACATGATTCTGCTTCTTATATATACAAGTAGAAATGTTAGAATATTAATCATATTACTTTAACATTAATATAATTAACATAAGGATTGGAATATACAGTTATAAAAATTGAGGGCCCTCAAAGTGTTAGCTGCTGTACAATCTTCACATCTGAAACGGTCTCCAGGAGTTTATATAGGCATGGCCTTTTCCAGGAATGTGGTAGATCCTAATCTAGAGAAAATCTTGATATTTCTTAGTTTCATCATGACATCTTGCAAGTAGCTGAAAGCAGCAAAAGTTCTGAGACTCCAACTCAGATCTTTCACTCATTTCAGACGTGTGTTATGGGTACTTTGGAGTCCTGGCCCTTCCTTCCAAGACTTTATGATGTAGTTGAGAAGAAAGGCAATACACAAGGCAACACATAGCTAAGCATATGGAGCTTAATACCAGCTTTAAGAGTTAGAGGAATTATCAGAATAATTATTTTAGAGTGGTGGCAGATCAATGAGTAGTTCCTTAAGCCCTTGGAGAAGCTTAAGGACTTTGAACTACTGGAAAAATGAAATTGAATTTATCTCATTTCATATGCTGCTTTTGTTGTTGTTTCTTAGTAGGTAATGATTATATTAGCATTACAAAATATTAGTGAAATCTGGACTTGGTTTAGGACTTCCTTTCCTTCCCCGACAGTCAGGTGTGAAGCTTTAGGGAACGGGCGTTTGGCTGATTCCAGCAGAGCAGGCACTGTTTAGTGGTCATTCCTTTTTTCCCTCCCATCCTGATTGTGTCTGAAATAGATTTCAAATGGCCGATTTGTTTTGGGTTTTTTAAAATAATTATTTCATTATAGTTCTTTCTGAAGCTTATCCTTAAATTGGAAGGAGTAATTTGGTTTAATTTTGTAATTCGGGATGTCTTGGTAAACATAAATTTCAAACTCACATAATTTGACTATATCTCCTTATTTTTGTAGGGTTTGGGATAAAGTTGTAAGTGGATCCTGTAAGATCCTAGTTTTCGTAGCCGTGGAAATTTTACTAACCTTTAAAATAAAAGTAATGGCACTGAACAGTGCCGAGAAGATAACAAAGTTTCTGGAAAATGTAAGTATGCTTTATTTTATTTGATTTTGAATCTAGAAAGGAAGTCAGCTTAGCAAGCCAGATTTTCCTGTTGCATCAGATTATTTCAGAGAAATAATACAGTATATTTTTACATTATAAGAAACAATATTTTGCCTTGAAAAAGTTTAGCTTAAAGTTGATCTGTGGATTATAGTTTACATCCTCTGAGAGACGATGGTCTGAGCAGCGAGACTGTCACCATGTCACACCATGGGTGTGCACTTAGGACCAAAGTCTTGTCCCCTGATGTGACTACTAGGAGGCTTGTCAGGAAAAGGAAGAGGTGAGATCTGTCACTTTAGGAAGAGTAATCCTTGTTAATGGGAAAGGAATCCCGATGTTTGGGGAATTTTGTAAGCTGTTTCATTTCTGTTAGTATCTCTGTTGGAATCCCATTTGGGTTTGTTACTGTGCTCAAGCATAAACTTAGCGCATATTGAAAAAACGTCTAAATGAATCAGCTTTTCCTTCTCTCTGTTTCTTAGACTACCCTTAACCAGGCACGAGGGAGAAGTAAAAAGACTTATGCCTCAGTGAATTTCACTGGACCCAAAATCTATACTACTGCTTTTTTTAATCAGTCAATATTAACGTTTGAGCAGTGGCCCAGTAAATAATAAGTACTAAGTGAATGTGTGTTGACTAAATGAATCATCATGATTATAGTAATTAGTGGCTAACAGTGCCAGGGCCCGTGCTAAGTAATTTCATGGATCATCTGATGTAACCCTGTGAACAACCCTGTGCGGTGGGGCTTTCATTGGCTCCCTTAGAGATGGGGATCTGAAGCCAGGTAGTTTAGGTTAACCTGCGCAGGGGCCCACCGTTAGTGGGCAGTGCAGCATTCGAACCCAGGCAGTCTGACACCAGAGCACCTTAGTATGTCCTCAGGTGGCATGTGAAACAGGGATCCTGGTAGCAGCCTTTTATGGGATCCCTTTCTGATAAACAGTGAAAACTCCAGTGGAAATAAGTTTTATGCAGCAGTGAATGAGGGAGATACTGAAGTTGTAGACGCTGGAATTTCACGGAGACTGGTTTGCTTGTTCACAGATTCCCCAGGACAGCTCGGATGCGATTGTGAGCAAAGCCATCGACTTATGGCACAAACACTGTGGGACCCCGGTGCATTCAGCCTGACTGCTCCTGACGGTTGTGGACAGTCCACTGGGACCACCCTGAGCATTTTGTTCTTGGAACATGGTCTACTAAACTGATTGAAAATAGGGTTCTTACTTTGGTGCTCAAGGTGTAATTTTTTTCCAGTAAAATTATTTAATTAAGATCTCTGGTGTTGCTGTGTTGTAGAGCAGCATCTTTTGGTTACACAGAAGTACAGAGTTCAGCTCTGAATAGCATTTTAAAAGGGTTTTTAGAAAACAGCTCCCAGTTTTTGAAGCCGTTCTGTCGGGGTGGGTGGGGGCTTGAATAAGCTGTGCTTGACCGGGCCTGCCCTGCTCTCGTTAATTAGCACCAAGCGACTTACTTTCTGAGGTCTATTTCTGAAATAAAGAACAACTTCCTTTTGTTGACAACTCAGATTCGGCTTTTGTTGCTGCAGTCCTTGTTTAAATCTAAGCTGACTGCTTTCTCAGGCTTTGTCTTCCTAAATAGGTTTAAATAAAGGCCTTATATATTTTTTTCTCTTTGTGCCAGTTGGAATGAAACAGTTATTGAACAAATATGTCTAAATTTGCCTAGTAGGAGAGAGAGTACTTGCTGATATTTTGCTGGACTCGTGCCTTTTCCTGATGGGTGATTAAACATTGGGTGGGCTTTGGGGAGCGCTCTGCCACCCGGAATAGGAGTGGGAGAAATGGTAGGTGAGGTTAATAGCTAATGAGCCCGGGCCGTATTGTGCTGCAGAATGGTAACTGACGTTCACTGGACGGCTGCGGGCTTTGAGACTGGCCGGGGAGACACGGCCTTTGTTTACAACTGATTGGGCTCTCAGGCCTGCAGGAACCTGAGTGGTAAGTTGGATTCTTCACCTACCCCTCCCCCAAAAGAGGAGGGAGCCCGTGAAATCATGGAGTTATAATTCTGAGAATTCAGTCCCTCCCTCATGTGTAAAAGAACTGTGGAAGGAGAGTTCAGAGCAGACTGAGCTGTTGAAACCAGCTGGTACTTCTGGATAGCAACCTATCCAGGAGTATTTGATTTTTCAAAACAAAAAAATACACTCAGAAGGAAACTTCTTAAAGCAAACTGCTGTCTGCAGTTCATACTTTACATTTCTTCAGTGCTCACCTCTGCCCCCGGAGAACATTCCAGGCAGTTGGAAAGATAAGAAAAAACACGTGAGAAAGAATTCCTGCTCCAGTTGTCTGCTGCCTGGTGATCTCGGCGCATGTCTGAAATTCACAGAGAAGTCATAAGAGCAAAATAATTTTACTTCTATTTACGAGCCACATATCATTAATACAACTTTTTAGTAAAATGGAGGTTGTGAAGTCAAGTGATGTTAGTGAATCTCAACTCCAAAAAAAGAAGAAGATAATTAGCAGTCTCTCAACAAGAAGATAGTTTCAGGGTATGTGCTCCTGCTCGCTCACACATAAATGCTGAGGGGAGACTGCGTGCGGCAAAGCCAGTGTGGGGCGGAGGGAGACCACAGCACCTGGGGCTCTTGGGGAGGAAGCTTAGGGGACTGGAATATTCTTCGTCACAATTTTGGCAGGTCCAGATGACCTGAAAGGGAAAACTATTACTGTACTGCTAACGGATCGGAAAATAAGTGTTCTACACTAAGTATATTCTGTCAAACCCAGTTTGGTAAAACCTTTCTGGCTATAGGGTGTGGGATGGGGATTTTCTTCAAGTGAGTCAATCTGATGCCATCAAGTTTTCCTTATTAAAAAAACTAAACAGCTCCAGCTCAGCAGAACAGTTTTTCAGGCCCACTGTGAGGACGGTGATAGAATAAGTGAGGATCCGATCATTTTAATATCAGAACTTTATTTTGCTGAGAGCCAAGTATTTTGAAAGTGTTTCTGCCCACTGCCTTCCGTGAAAAGCATAGCTCCTGATGGAAATACCCTCGTATTCCCCTTATTTGAAACATTTTAAAAGTCAGGATCCTGCAGAGTGTTTCCTCTATGTTAAAGCCTGGGGTTTCTGTTGGAGCCACAACTGTTGCGGCTAATACGTGGTTCATCCCTCTCCCTTGGAAAACTGGGATTAACATCGTTAAGTTAGCTTCTCGTCCTTCCCCTCCACTGTGTCGTCTTAAACACAGATGAGAGAAGCTCTAAATCTGCTCTGCTAGGAGGTATGCACAGAGGCCAAGGAGGGTTGCGGAGTGTGTGTGTGTGGCTGTTGCCTGTTGACAAATTGAAGTGACCAATTGTATGTACACAGGCTTGTGTGTGTGTGTGAGGCCACTTCAGGAAGTGAGGTCAGGGTTCCTGAGAATGAAATGCTTTTTTGTTAGTGGGAAGTTTGGGTGGAAATCATGGGACAGCACTCAAATCACGTGATGTGTAGGAAGCGCTCTGAAGGCCTCCGTTCCCTGTCGCTCTGGGCGGGAGACATGCCTGCCCTGTCTTGAACCGCTGAAGAATCCTTCTTGGCTGTGACCGGTCCCCTGCCATGTGGTCATCACCTTCCCCCTGGGACTTGAGGCTTATTTTTTCTTCCTGAAATTGAGGAATATGGAGGGAGGTCTGTGGGGAGGAGCATATCTGCCCAGGACTAGGTCTGAAGACTCAAGTGCCGGCCTCTGCTGGCACTGTGAGATGAACAGGAGTGGCGTCTGAGCTCTTTAGCCAAAGGCAGCCTGTGGGCGCTGGCAGGGCATCTGGCTCTGCGTTTTGCATCTGCCAGTGGTCATGCAGGGTAAGCAGCTTTTGTCTTCAGCTGAGTGTTCTGGGCTTGGATGGGCTTGAGGAGGACGCTGTTCTCTGCCTTGCAGAGGAGAGTGTGGGAATTTTTGTAGCGGGAATTGGTAGCATTCCCTCTGCTGGATGAAACAAAGAGCTGTTTCTCCTTTAGACTCAGTGCCAAATGAAACTGCTCGTGGCTCTTGGCACAAGCACCACGTCTCTGATCAGCTGTTGCTTATCCAGAGTCGGCGCCAGTTTGAGTAGGAGGGAGGGCTGGTGAAGGAAGAGGGGGCGATGAGAGCAGGAGGAGGTGGGAGCTCTCCTGTGGGACCCTGGGGCGGGGTGGGGCAGAGCTGCCGGCCGGCCACTTCCTGCTTTCCTGACCATTGCTCCCTTTCCTTTTTGGCCTCTCTTTCGGCCTTGCTTTAGGAAGGTTAGAAAGTAAGTGGACAGTTAGTTGTTGGTGAGGTGACATTCCCCCCGTCCTCCTGGGGGCTGGTTTTACTGTACGGCAACCAGAGGGGGAGTCCAAGCCTGTGATTGGAGAAAGCATGGGAAAAGTCCTTCAAAAAGCATGTCCTGACAGAGCAGAGCTCCAAATAGAATATCACAGCAAGTGCTTAGTGTTCAGACCTCAAAATTACCAAAAATGTAGGTGTTGCTTTGTAGTTTACCAAGAACTTAGACATCCACATGCTGGGGACCGATGGAGCTCCGCCGGCCTCCGTCGCTCCTCTCCAGTCTCTTCTCCCACCCCCGCCCATGTTTTCCTAGAGTCTTAAGTAGCAGCCTGGTACTTGGTGGGTTTTGCATCCCCCTTGTCCCTCCTCCACCTGCTGGGAAGGTTTGTGGGGGAGGCAGCCAGGCGGAGGAGAGCCGGGGATGACTCACTTCTAAATGTCAGAAGGCTCACTCCAGGGCAGCCAGCCTACGTCCACCCCCCATTTCTCCCCCTTCCGCTCTGCTTGGTTTGTTTATTGTCTTATTCATTCTCATTCAATCATGAAATAAATTTGAATGCTCTCCTAATTATGGGCCAGGTACTGACTGAGCTTAATTGCTGAACAAGTCATGTGGTATCTGCCCTCTTGGTGCTCATAACCACGCAGGGAAGACAAATATTAAGTTAAACAGGAGTAGATTTTGTTCTGGCAGTCTTTCAGAGTGCTTCTCGAGTCCTGAGCTCCCACACAAGGGAGAGGGACCTGGGTTGGCCCAGAAGCTCCAGAGGAGGGTTAGAATTGCTCCGAGAGGTGTGGTTCTTTGTCCCCTTCCCTTATTAATGGAAGAGGTGACAGAGAGAGCCTTGGCTGGGGGCGAGGGGCATGGGGAGAGGGTCTGAGCATCTGCCACACTCACTGTTTCTGTGATCCAGGGGGGTCGCTCAGTCTGTGTCTCAGTTTCCCCAGCAGTTCTTTCACATTCCTCACCCCTCAGCCTGCTTGGGAGCATCAGATGAGTTGACTGTGAAAGCACAGTAAGAAACGTAGAGCTCCGTGGAGCACCAGCATTTTGAACAGTGTGGTTCATGGGAGGCGGCCAGGCGCTGCCTCTGTCTCCATCGGCCCTGCCCGCTCTGAGACGCTTCTCGTCGCCTTCCAGGCTGAGTGTGCCTTGTTCCTCTGAGCTTCTGTGATGTCTCAGGCACGACTCGTTCAGCAGTAACTGTTGGGAAGCCTCTTGTTTGGTCGTCTCGAACTTCTGTTAAGCTTTCCATGTGGTTTCCCTCTGAAATGCAGGCTTCTTGATGCCTGTGTCGTGCTTGCTTTCTCATACCCCCACTTTACCCAGTACCGTTCCTCATGCTTGTTTTCTCCCCCAAACTGTGCTGTCCCTGCCCTTCTCTGGGCGTGCTGTGGTCTTTGCAGGAGTGTCCTCTCCCCACTGCGGTGCTATATCCTCCTATCCCTAAGGGTCAGCTCAAGCATCCCCTCCTCCAGGAAGCTCTCCCAGCTTTCTGTTCCTTGTCTTCTGCCCCTGGCTTGTTTCCCTCCATGCCGCTCTGCATTCTTTCCACCACGTTTAATGCACTGATTTAGAATGACCTGTTTAGGTCCCACACTAGCCTGCGAGCTCCTCAAGGGTAGAGCTCATGCCTAATTCTCTTTTTCTTTCCCTCAGTGCCAAGCACATCTCAGGCCGCCTGGCCTGTCCATGAATATGAGTTGGATGCATGAATGCCTGGCTCAGTGTTGATTGGGACTCCTTTGGTGACAAGTAATAGGATTGTTCCAGAGCTAGCTTGCTTAAAGGAGACTTTATTATAGGACAAAGGGGTGAGGCTCAGAGCCCAAAGGGGGAGGGATGGAATCTGGGGCAGGACTGAAGAGACTCTGGACCCTCTTATCCTCCCATCTGTGACCTACTCTGTGTGTCTGTTGCGTCCTTTTCTCTGCAGTCAGGAGTGCTCTGATGGAAGATGCCTTACAGGTCCAGCCTCTGGAGACAGAGACTCTTGACCCGAGTTCCTGAATCTGTGGGAAAGAGGCTGTGGTCCAGCTTGGCTCTGGTGCTGCCCATGGATCAATCATCTGTAGCGATGGAGATGGAGGGGTCAGGCAGCAGACACATGGCTTCCAGGAGCCTCCCCTGTGTCCATGGCAGTGCAGGAGGGCTGAGTGAGGGACATTGTTATTGGGTCCACTGTCAACTGAGGGGACGCTCTCAAAAGCTTTCTGCTCCAGTTAGCAAAGCTTTTGACTGGATATGTGCCCTACAAAGGTGCCAGGAGGGGCAACAGGCGCCTGCTGCCTTGAACCAAGTCTAGGTAGCTTTTCCTTCACCACTTATTTCTGGTTTCTGCCAGCTAGTCTGAGGGTGGCCCAGCCAGCCCTTTCAGATGGGGGTGGGCAGAGTGGGAACATCCCACTGGCAGCTTTGGCGGTGTCTCTAAGGGCCAGGTGTTTCCTCTGTGAACATTTCATATCAAGTCTAATTTATTCTGGAAGTCTATGGAGTGTTGGCTTTGCCTGGCTCCTTCCCCCACACCTGGGTTCGGTGGGAGGGCTGGGTGGTGAGTAGCTGGCAGCAGCTGTGTTTATTTGCCTCTTGCTGGGAAGGGTGTATGGTTCCCCCAGGGTATAAACATCTGGGTCTCTAGACTGAGTTGGGCTCTGGCCAGACCTGGTGGCAGTTGAGTGACCCTGGATAAAGTCAGTCAGGCAGCTGCTAAGGCCGACTGATTTCAAGATCACAGGGAGGCACACCTAGATCTGAGGAATGTTGGAGCTGGAGTAACGCTTGCAGGTCATCTGGTTCGACACTCCCCTCCCCATCACACAAATAAGAAAAGTGAGACTCCAGGTGGTAAAGGGGGTTATACAGGGTCACCGTTGGTAGGCGAGCAGCCTCTAGCACCCAGGCATCCCTGCTCCCTGCCTAGAGTAGCCACTAAAACCCAGGCATCCCAACTCCTGTCTAGAGCAGCCTCTAGAACCCAGGCATCCTGGCTCTCTGTCTAGAGCATTCTCCAGAACCCAGGCATCCTGGCTCCCTGTCTAGAGCAGCCTCTAGAACCCAGGCATCCCAACTCCTGTCTTGAGCAGACTGTAAAACCCAAGCATCCCAACTCCTGTCTTGAGCAGCCTCTAGAACCCAGGCATCCTGGCTCCCTGTCTAGAGCAGCCTCTGGAACCCAGGCATCCTAGCTTCCCATCGACTTCACTTCACCAAGCTACTCCCTCATCCTGAAACACTGCCCCATCTATTCTCTGAGCCTTAAAATCCCTTCCTCTGGACAAGACATTGTCCAAATGTCTCCAGTTGATGCTTTCTGGCTGGGTAACTTGGCACCGGGTCCTCATCTGTAAGATGGGAGGGCTGATAGTAATAGTAGCCACCTCATGGAAGTGTTAGGAGGACTAAGTGCAGAGACACATAGTACCTTGGATCAGTGCCGGCACAGAATAAGCACTCCGCAGACATTAGGTATTACTGCTCCACAAGTGATAATAGTTAAAATGTGTGTTCTCCTCAGAGAGGTGGCATTGTGACAGTCTTACTACAGACTAAATGTCTTGGTGATTATTTCCTGAGAAGGGGTTTTAAGGAGAGTAGAGGCCCATTACAGGTTCTTTAAAATCATGCATTTGAACGGGGCTTCTTAAACTTTAATGTGCATAGGAATCCCCTGGTTCCTTGTTAAAAAACACATTCTGATTTAGTAGCTCCGGGGTGGGGCCTGGGGTTCTGCATTTCTAATATGCTTCCTGATTTTGCCGGTGCTGCTGGTCCCCGGGGACCACAGTTTGAGTAGCAGGGACCTAGGGAATGTGGATTTCACCTAGTACAAGGTTCAACCCTGATGCTAAAAAAATGAAAGATGCCACTGAGAATGCCACCTGCCTGTGCCATTTTCTCATTTTTAAATTAGTCTGAGTTCATTTCTAGGCGATGGTGGGGATATTGCTAAAAGTTTATACAGCACTCCATCAGAACCTCAATAGAATCTCTGTACCGAGAGGCAGGTGTTCTCTATGAATTTTCTCTCTCCACTGGGTCACTGGAAGTGGTTTCACTATAACCTTATCACACGTCAGCTCATTACCAAGGATAGCTCTGTGGCAGCTAATCAACCGTGTCCATCCTCCCTTTCTTTCTCCCTAAACAGACCTCAATTTTATTTGAGGTAGGCATGTGTTAATACAACTTTATTTCCTAGCCTCTCGTGCAAAGAGGGATGGACAGTAAGATGGAAGGCAAAGTCATTAGGTAGCACTTTCAGAAAGGGTTTTTATCCAAAGAGGATTTACTCAGCTGGCAGGTAACTTTTCCTCCTAATTCCTGCCTGGAACACATGCATTATGACTGGAACTCCAGCAGCCATCTTGGAGCATGAGGCAACCTAGAGGATGGAAGCTACATGAGGAGGCTGGTGGGGCAGGAAAACAGCTGTGGCACATTGATGGTGTCACAAGTTCTTCCTTGATTAACTCCAGACTTCTTTTACATAAAAAAAAGAAAAAGCTCAGTTGTTTTAGCCACTATTTGGGTTTCCTGTTATGTGAAGGCTGT